CCACAAGACATGGAATATATGCATATTTGCATATCAACCAACTGCAAATCAAGGGCAATGCACTATGCATGTTTTTGAAAAGCAAAATCCCTTTCCAAAGAGTAAAACAGATTTAAAATACATTCTAGAAATTAAAATGCATTGCATCCCAGAGAATATAACTAAAATGGTAAGCGATCTAAGTCATTTTAGTAGATATCTATCAAGATACCCATCGTGATATTTTTCTACAATATCACATTATTTTTTAGCCTACCACTGCGTTTTACAAATAACCCCATGGAAGCGTGATAATGAAGTCTGCTTTCTCACTGATCACATATACAGACTAGTTTCCTGTTTCTAAGTTGCTCCTCATAGATCAAGTTATGCTACAAAGGTAAATACATCGCTTCCATTGATGTATATGGGAGTTGCAGTGTGTATCTGAGCGTAGTCTTTGGTTCTATGAATTCTGAATGACTGAGCTGCTTTTTGAGAGAAGAAAAATTATTTTCTCTAAAACAGAAAAATAGAAGGCCAACCAGGCCCACTCCTCCTTTCTGATGTTTGGGAAGGGAGCGCTTAACAATCCACACCTTCTCTTGTCCCTGCTTGATTGAGGCTTCTCTATCCAGGCATTGCTACAGCTTTAGGTATTTTGCTTTTTTAGAGAAGGGCTGTTCCAGTGCAGGTGAGGGAAGAACGCAGAAGGGCCAAGTCCCCAAACACTCGGATGTGAATGTGAGAAGGTTGTTGGGAGATTCTTCCACTTGGTGAAGAATTTCTGCACCCTACTTAACAGACCCATTGCGATCCAGGAGATGTCTTCAGCCCCATGACCCACTGGTTTATTACCAGACACCTACCAGTCACCTAGCCAAAGGAGAAACTTTCAACTCTCCCTTTGCTGGGAGAGACTTCTTCTCTTGACATCACTGTGTTTTACATTTGGATTATTGGAGTCTTTTAATAATGTGCTCAAAGAAAATCTATTGTGCTTTGTTCAAAGGATTTTTGTTTGTTTGTTTGTTTGTTTTTTACATTTTAAGCATGTATATATCTGGTTAATGGAGGGCTGATATTTAAAATTGAGGAAAAGGGAGCTGCTGGTGTTTGGGATGGAGGGAGATCAGATGGACATTCATTTCTTAAGGATTATTATGTTCTTGCACCATATCCCCCTCAAATGGACTAAAACAATGAGAAATACATCTCTGATCTCCGATCAGTTCAAAACAGCAGGAGACTGGTTTTAAAGGAATACTCTTTCCTAGGTTTCATATCAACGTATTGCTATCACTTCTTTTCAGTGCAGTAAAACCTAGGACAGTGGTTTTGCCTACAGATAAACTAAAACCTTCCTCCTCTCTCTAGGAAATTCTCAGTATAGCCAGCAACAGGCAGGATACCAACAGGGAGCTGCGCAACAGCAAACGTATTCACAGCAGCAGTACCCAAATCAGCAAAGCTACCCGGGACAGCAACAAGGATACGGTAAGGAAACATTTGTTGTCAGGTCTTGTGTTTGCAAGCTTTCATATCAATGTGTTGGGGTAGGGCAGATATTTACCCAGCTACTCTGATAGAATTTGCAGCCTGCTCTGAGCTCTGTGCCGCTACAGCTGTACATTTACCGGTATCTTAGCCAAACGGTTTAAAAAGTTGGCTTGGCTTAGCCATACTCGACTACAGTTATAGCGGGTGTACCTGTATGCTGTTAACCACAAGGCTTTCCCTTGGTAAATAAAACTTTGGTGATAAGTTTTGCTGTTTTCTCAGGTCCTGCACAGGGAGCCTCGTCACAGTATTCCAGCTACCAACAGGGACAGGGGCAGCAGTATGGAAGTTATAGAGCTTCTCAGACAGGACCATCTGCTCAACAACAGAGGCCTTATGGCTACGAGCAGGTAAATTACTTTGATTTCTGCTGTAAACAGCTATGTGGCTTTATCGTGTGCACAAGAAAAGCTATGAGTTCAAAGACCTAGATCCACTGTCAGACTAGAGGATCCTGTGTGAGTGCATTGGCAGTTCAGTAGTGAGCCTGTCAAGTTTCATGAGCCAAAAGGTGACCATTTCTCCCAACTCCCTGTATGTCCACCTCAGAAATTATATTGTCTAATGCATCTTATTTTTTTTCATTTTTTAACAGGGCCAATATGGAAACTACCAGCAATAAAGGGACATATTCCTGTGTCAGATTCATTTCGATAGTATATCCATCTTTTGAACTGGATGTACAGGCTGATTCATTGTAATATGTTGGTTATCCCTTAGCACAAAGCAGCGTCTGTATGTGAACAGTGTTCATTTCATGCTGGATATGAAGCAGTGCACTACTGGTAACAAGACAATGCTTTAATGGTTTGATATTTGGTGCTGTGTCTAGTACTGTATGTTGATTACAATGCAGAAGTTTGTTTCCCCCCCACCTCCCTCCCCATTCTTGATGTTTCTGAATAGCTTTAGGGGTCATTTGATCACAGTTCTGTGCATCCAGTTCTGGAAAATAGCTAGAAGATTCTGCAGTCCAGGAAAATACTAAGATAGTCACATCTGTGCTCAGGCAGTTATCCGAGTACAGGTTACAGACCTTTGTTTCACAGGATGCATTGCAGTTTACCTGTTTTATATGCCAGCCTCTGAAATCCATGGCTCTTATATCTGCCACTTTACGGTAAAGGGACAGGTACACTCTTTACATTGAGACAATATCCATGCTATAAGATGAAAACAAAACTAACTAAAATCATATTTAATTGGCTGAAGATATTCTGCATAGCAAATTTGTATCATGGTTACAAGGCCTAAATACCCACCTCTTTTAATATATCTATATACTATTCCACGTTTTTGTAGTAAATGGTACAGAAAGATGATCAAAACCCATATTCAAGAAAATACTAATCACTAGAGGCACCTTTTATGCATAGACGTAAAGCAAGGTATGTGTCATCATGAACAAAAAAATAAAAGGGAGCTTTGGAATCTGTCAGTCTGCCTAGACATCAATATTGCTTCATATCGTGCTTAGCTTAGGAAAAAAACTGGCAAAATTTCTGTCTGAAATACACTATTCCAGATTTTATAGCACACTTTGGTTCATGCCAAATTTCCCAAGCAGGTGGTTAGTTGCCCTTTTCATTTCTGATTCTTCCACTGCCCTACTTCACACTTTCCAGAGAGCATTACACCTATAAATCATCAGGAACTGGCTTTCTGCAGCTCCTCGTTGCTTTTACTTTTCCCTACTCTAGCTTGATAGAAATAATTCAGAATCAGTGTGAAAAATCCATTTTTGTTTAAAGGGAACATCTATTATGCATATGGAAAGGGTATTAATAGGTTCAGCTGTTAGAGGAAAATCTATAGAGGGAGAACTGAGAAATACCGTATGTGCACAATGGTAGTTAAAAGCCGATATGAACAAGAAGAAAAAATGCAGTTCTTACTCAGTTTAATGCTTCATAAAAATGATGATACATTCAAATTGATAAAACGGTTTCTCTGTGGCTAAAGTGTTAAAGTGACCAAAATGTATGTCCCATGTATTTTTTTTTTTTAAATGCAAATATTAGCCTAAAATTAATTGGAACTTCTAGACTATAGAGCTGAATTACACCCTCTATGGAGTTTTTTTTCCTTTTCTGTCTAAATTGGCGTGTTTGTTGGTTTTACATTGTGGAGATTTTACCTTCTGAAAGCTAAGACCTACCGATATAGATGTCATACTTTACATTTTGATTTTGCCAGGAAAGGCTAACCTTACGCCTGGATAGCTAAATAGCTTCTTATTAAATGTTGTTCAAGCTGTGCCCTTGCTACAGACGCACTTCTTCTCATTGCTGATCAAGGAAATGGAATTCACGTTTCGAGTTGGTCTTCATTTCTCTTTCTTCCTGCTGATGTTTGCCTACAACTCTTAAGTATCAAGAAAAGGACAGAAAAGGGAAAAAAAAGAAAGTTTTGTTTTTCCATAGGTGTTACTGTGACAGATAGCTAGGAGAACACAGTGACTCCTTTCCAGCTGGGAGATTGCTTTTTACGTGGATTTTGAAAGTGCAGAGAAAAGACGAGCAACAGTTAACAACACCATGCGAAGCAGCAACGTGACATCGGGTCCGCAATGTCTTACATTAAGAACTTCTTGAATGTTGTGTATATACTGTATCTGAAAGAGCACTTTGGAAATAGTTTGTACATTTTATTTCCTAATTTATACATGATTTTCGGGGTGTTAAAAGATTTCTAACGGCGAATAACAGCCCGTTTATTTAATGTGCTGTCCATTTTTATGTATCGATGTGGAACAAAGTGATGCCAGCGTTTGGACTCGTCTCGTTGCCTTGTTGCCTCATTTCCTGCGTGGTCACGGAGGACGCTGGGGTCGGGGGGGCAGCGAGCGCGACAGGGACAGGCGGGCCCAGAGGCTGCTCGGTGAAGGCGCCCGCTTGGAAATAACAGGGCATGGTGCCAACGGGACGGGGGATCCTTGGCTCCATGCGGGTCAGCGCCAAGGGGCGCAGGCACAAGCACTGCAAGGAGCTTCAAGAACTGGGAGGGCTGAGGAGAAGCCTTGAGCTGCACCTGTGCCTTAAGGTGGAGCATTTCCAGCTGTTAAATATGAAATGAGCTTATTGGAAGATCAAAATTATAGTATGTGCCAAAAAGCTATTGTACACTGAAAAATGTATGCAAATATTTCTACTCATTTACTTTATATTGCTAACTGTAACCTTCTCGTGCATGGGGGAAGAGAGCTGGGTCATCCAAGCAGAAGCAGTCTTTATTTAGAGGCGACGGTGCTGACAGCAAGCCCAACAGTCACCTAAGACTCTGAGTGACTTGGGTTTTTGCACCTGCTGCCTCAAAAACCCCGTGTCCCGGCGCGTGCCACGTCCCCCTGCCACACTGCCCCTTTCCCGCGCTTCGCTGCCTTCCGAGCCGCGCATGCGCCGAACGCGCAGCGTGGCGCGGTGACCTCTGGCGTCGCCGAGCGTGACCCCGAAGTGGGCGTGTCCGGGCGCGGGCGCTTCCGGGGGCTGCGTGAGGGAGCGGGCGCCATGTTGGGGGCCTGGGCCCGGCTGCGGGGCTGGCGGGCATTGTCCACGGGCTGCGCGCGCTGCGCCAAGGTGCGCTCGCTGCGGAAGAAGAGGGAGATGTCGGAGAAGCAGCTGGTAAATCCCGGGCTCCGTGAAGCGAATCCAGCCACTACCGAGTAGGGAGGCCTGGAGGCCCGGGTTCTTGTGGAGAGTCCCGGGGGGGAGGGGTACATTATCATCATCACGATTACTATATTAAAGGGGAGGGTCACTGCTTCAAAACCATCGTGGTCTCAACACTTACATAATTATTACTATTTAAACCCCCAGCTTGGAAGATGGCAGTTACTTGGGGGGGGGGCGCTGCCCGTTTTGTTTACAGGCAGCTTTTTGACTCTTTAAGTAAAGAGGGAGCAATTTTTGTATGATTTTTATTTTTGTATTATTATTGTATTTTATTTTTGTACTGTTTTTTTTTGTATTATTTTTATTTTTCAATTACATCACCGTGATGCCCGTACCGCTGGTCTAATAAAAAGTATCGTGTTGGAGCCAAGAGCTCCCGGCACCGACGGAGACGCTCGGAGGGAGACGGGCTTCGATCTCCAAATCCCTCTGTGCAACAATGAAGATTGTTTCCTGCCTGTGGGGACTTTCCACCATCTGCACATTTCCCGGAGCCGGATGAAAGGACTTGGATCCCGAAAGCTTGTGGAGAAAGGGCGGTTTTCTTGCGATTTCCCAGTTGGTTTAATAAAACGATTTGAACCCTAACCCTAAGCTGGTCTCGTACACGGTATCGCATTGGAGATGGTTTTTTGTACGTCTTCTTGCACAGACAAAATGAACTTGAAAGCTGCCGTTCGGGTTGTAGCCGCTGGGTGGTGCCAAGTACGTGTGCAAAGGGGATCTGGTTAATCGCAGCGTTACGACTGCTTGTGACTGTGTAAATCCCCCCCTCCCCGAATTGGGGCATTTTTCAGCTGCTCGTGTTCGCATCGCAGCTCTAGTCCAGTCTTTTCTTCGCTCTGGCTGCTTTTCTAAAACAAAAATACGTGGCAGGCTCCATCTCAAAGTCGAGTCTTATCACCAGGGATCCTGGTTTTCTCTGGTTTAAAAACATCTCCAATTTTCAGATTAAAGAAAGTAACCCCAAATCCGCATCTTCCCGTGATTTAAAATGAAACACCACTACTATAGATGTACGTAGTGGTGTTTCAGTTTAATCACGGGAAAATGTGGATTTGGGGTTATTTTTTTTTAATCTGAAAATTGGGGTTTTTTTATCAGAACTAATACCCCTGCTTATCGCTTTATTAGCACTTACGAAACGACTAGAACTCTTGGCTCCAAAATGATACCTTTTATTAGAGCAACTGGGAAATCGCAAGAAAATTGTCCTTTTCTGCAAGCTTTTGGGATCAAAGTCCCTTTGTCAGGCTCTGGGAAAAGTCTAGATGGTACAAGATGGTAAAAAGTCCCCATAGGTAGGAAATAAACTTCTCTTTTGCACAGAGGGAGCTGAAGATAGAAGACTGTCTTCCCCTGGGTCCAGGAGAGTGTCTTTGTGAGCTGTGCTGTCTCTCTCTTTGATGTGTAGATCAGGTAGTAGTACTTGAAACATACTTCTGTTTTCAATGTAACGTGCAAAAATAGGCCGGTGCTTCATGATAATTCTGTCCGTTTTTTACATCCGAGGACCTTGTGACCTTTTTTTGACTGTAGATAAGTATTATCTACCGCATTTTATTAACATATATTATGAAACACAGAGAAGTTTAGTGGATGTGTCCAAGATCACGCAGCAAATCAGTAGCAGAGCAGGAGTCAGCATCTAGAATTTATTTGCTAATCTCTTGCTTTAACTGTTAGACTGTAGCCTATAGGAAATGTTCAGTGTCCTTCAACCTACTTAGGTCCCCTGAAAAATCTGTTCTTAAATTGTTGTGGTGTTATGTTTGGTGTTTTTCTGACTCTTGTATTAAATGCAGGTTGGAATATGAATGGTATTTTTGAAGTAGAGAGCTGTGCATAGACAGAAAATAACTCTATCTATACCCACCTTGTAAATATTGGTTCATTTATGAGAACCACATTGAATCTCTTGTTACAACTCTGAGATGTTTGAGATGCTTCTCCTCATGAGCAGAAGTATTAGGCTATGTTATTAGTATTGCAGTAGCATATGGGGGCTCCAGTCAAGACTGGGCCTCAGTTCAGACAAGCAGCAAGGAATTTTACCTTTATCTGGAAAAGTTGAACTTCAACTCCACAAAACTGGGTTGGAAACTTAGAAAAAAACATTCTCAGCAGATCTGCAGAGCAGAGACAACATTGTTCATATAGGTCTGTATAGTAGCAAGCCCAATTTCAAACTTTGTGAGATTTAGTCTTCATTAATTTGGCAGAGCTAGCAGCCCTCAGGCACATCAGTCTGTTTCATTTTGTCTCTATTACTGCAATTTATGTTTTTATCTTAGTGCCACTGAGACTCAAACACCTGCCTGTGTGTCATCCAAATTTCACTGACTTGCTGCAAGCACAAAATGGTTTCAGTTTCTCCCACTCTGCTGTAACAGTTCTTGCAAATTCAAGGGGCTCATGTCAGAATCCGGGGAAACTCGGTGACTAAAATGAGGCACGTCTACACAAGACATTTACTGTGCAGTAGCCAAATAACACTTCAGAGTAGTGTGCCAGGCAAAACCTGTGCTAATACGCTACTGCACAGTGTTATTAGGCTACTGAGCTGTAAGCGGCACTAAAAAAACTGCTGGCACTACTGCTCTGTAGTCAAGTTACTGCTCTTTAAATTAATACTTGGTTAATCAAGTACTAAACTTAATGCGCAGTAACTAGGGCGCATTAATGACCATGTAGACATGCCCAGTATGTTTAACTTAGACCCCTCATAATTTTCATATATCCGTTCCAACTACCTAGGTCACTGTTAGTTTCCTTGCTCCTTTGAATATATTTCATTAGCTTGGAAATAGTTTCCTCTGAAGCGTGAGCTGAAAGGATGATCTTTCAACATCTCTGTATTTTTGCCTGTGGAAACTTGGATGTCTGTGTTAGATGTTTTAAAATATGTTTGTCTGTGCATGCCATGTCTTTCAAGAAAATTGTTAGCTTCGTGAGCTGTATTTAGCTTGTGCCTGAACTACAGCCAAGTGATAGATTCTGATTTTCAAGTGGAAATTGGAATTTCTGACCTGTTTAGATAAGACAAAATTGCATGCAGCTACATTTTGAGGGATTCATCAACTTGTTGGAGGAGGTTTTGATAACATTTGAATAAGTTGCAGTAAAATCACATTAAATCCTCTCTTCATTGCAGACCCGTTATTTTGTGGATCATCGAAGAGTGTGCGTGGTTGGAGGACAAGGAGGTGGAGGGGCTAACTCTTTTCTTAGTGAGCCTAGGAAAGAGTTTGGAGGTCCTGATGGTGGGAATGGAGGAGATGGGGGCCCTGTTATTTTGAAAGGTAAAAGGAATCTGGCTTGTTAAATATTGTCCTTCCATTTTAAACCTGTTTGTTTGTTTGTTTTAAACATTTCCTTCCCAGAATCTCCTAACAACCACACCTGAAAATGCCACAGTACTCTGCTGTCTTCCCACACTGACACAGATGCGTCCTAAAGCCTGGAGTAAAGCCAAAGTTTATTCTTGATGGGCCTATAAACACTATATTCAAGATCATGTGTCTGTGACCTTGATTCCAACATTAAACATGTATGGCACAGCATGCCCAGCATTGTAGAGAAAATTGAGCATAAGCTTTTTTTTCTCTCTTGAGGAATAAAGGAAGAATGCATGAGATAAAGGCAGGTTATGTTTTGTGCTGTTCTGGAGGTCCCTTGGACACTACAGTAATTAGTGGTGAAAGGACCTAAATAGAAGGGTACACACTTGAAATTGGGACCAGGAGTCTTTTAAAACAGGCTTCAAACCATTGGTTATTTTAACATTTCTGATCTTCCCATTGCAACGAATTTTCCATAAAGGAAATTACGATGTCCAGCCTTCTTTTTTAAACTCTGAAATGAGATGATGATCTTTTCCAAAAGAGTATCTGACATGCCAATTTCCTAACTTATAGGGGTGTACCAATAAAGATTTTTTGGGCCGATACTGATGGCCAATTTATTGACCAGCCATATTGGCCGATACTGATCCGATTGTCAACGTGCAGCCCAACCATTTGGAGAGCACCATCTGGCTGGTAAGTCTGTTGTGGGCAAGGTGCATGTGGGGGCAGATCAAGGCCCCCATGGTGAGGGAAGGAATAAAGCTGGGGCAGGAGCAGGCACTGCCCAGCCACAGCAGGGTGGGGCTCAGGATGGAGCCGTAGGTGGCTCGTCTGGAGGGCGGGTGGGCCAGGGCTGTGCTCGAAGCGGGCAGCAGCAGTGCTGGGAGGCGGGGTTGTGGGGTGGGCTAAAGCTATCCCAAAATTCGCCATAGCCCCCCCTCCCAGCATCACTGCCTTCTGCCCTGCCCAGCCCAAATGCAGCCCCACCAAAGCCCCTGCAGGGAAGAGGCTGGTGCAGCCCCTGGCCCCCACCATGCAGTGGGCAGCCCTTTCTCGCCCCGTGCACAGATCTGTGGGGCACATGCCCCCATGCCTCCCCCAGGGTGTGCGCAGTGGTGGGAGCTGCACCCCCCGCACTCCCTGGATGAGCCACTTGTGGCTCCATCCCATGCCCTGCCCGGCTAGGCAGAATTTACCCTAGTCTCTCTCCCTCCCTCACCTTGGGGGCCTCAATCTGTGCCATCCACAGCCTTTCTTCCTCCTCCTCCCCCCACCCCATTTTACCTGCTGCACTCTGCTCCTCAAACTACCAGTTATCTCCTCCTAGTGAGCTTTGGAGTGAGTTGTGTATTTGAAGGAGAGAAGAAGTGTTTTTTTATTCTTGCTTTTTGGTCAGCGATTGTACATGGAATTTCTCTTGGTTTTAGGTAACCTTATCTTCAGTCGATGGTCCCATTTTTAAACCACAAATTAGTAAGTCTTTGATGTTTTCTTAGATATTTATAAAGTAGACTTTTTCTAAAAGTACTACTTACCAATATTAAAACAAACCTTTTTTTATTTAACTAGCTTTATAATGCTGTCTCTTCAGCCTTGTGTGGTAACTTGCATTCCAAGAACCCTAAGGACTTTTACAAAACCACATTTACAATATTCTCCCTTACTAGTAGCATTCCTTTACTCTAGTTGTGAAATGCATCAGCTTTCGTATGAAGGGCATCTTTATAATACAGAATTGGCATCAGGGAATTCTAAATCCCATGGAGACTAGACTAGGTTTCAGGAAGACTTAAGCAGTATATGACTTAGTAACTTGCAATTTGTCCAAACTTTACTTAGGAAAAAACAACACATATTGTAATTTTCATAATTCTCATAGGTGATCAGGACTTTGGTTTTTAGTTCTCATCCAGAATGCAAGCATTTCCAGTTGCAGTTTCTTCAGTAGTATCTTCAGTTTCTTCAGTTATTGGTTCATCAGTACAGATTCAAAAGACAGTATTCTCAACTGTGTGATAATATTTAGCATTTAAATATCACCAGTGCCACTTTCATTGCCACCTACAGACTAAGCCTGACCTTGCTTGTGAGGTGATGATTATTGCATTATAATAGAACACAGACTTCATTGTGCTAAGTGCTGTACAACTGTGTAATGAAAGGTAGGATAGGATCACAGCTTGTGTGGCATGATTTGAAAAAATTCCATGTCAGATGTTTCATATGAAACACCTTTAAAACATAGTAATTTGTCAGATGGGAGTAACTGAACTGAACTCTCAGTCTGATTGTAGAGGTGCACCAATACATCAGTGGCATATTGGATCGGCATCAGTAAAAGGGAAATTAACATTATCGGCCATCAACTTTTTTTGGCGGGTGTAGCTGATTAATGTCATCGATAAATGCTGCGTACACGTGGCCAGGAATGCAGCCTGGCAGCATGGAGAGTCGCACCTAGCCAGTAAGTCTTTGGAGCGGGGGAAAGGAGTGGGGTGCAGGTCAAGGCCCCCACAGTGAGGGAGGGAGTGGGGCAGGGACGGAGGCAGGCCTTGCCCAACCAGGGCAGTGAATGCAACCCCAGGGCCAGGAGTAGGACGGAGCCATGGGCTGCTTGTCCGAGGAGCATGGGAGGGTGGGGAGGGGGCACAGGGGGGGGGGTGGCTCCCTGCCGCTGCGTGCACCTCTGGGGGAGGCATGGGCCCCCCCCTGGATTTTGTGTGCAGGACAAGAGCAGGCTGCCCACTGCAGGCTTGAGGCCAGGGATGGGACTGTGCTAGCCTGTTCCCAGTTGGGGCGCTGGGCAGGGGTGGGGTGGGCAGTGGTGGCAGTGCTGGAAGGTGTGGTGCAGCGCATCTCACAAGGGAATGGCAGTAGTTCAGAGTGCCCTGAGCAGGGGCGGTGCTAGAGTGGGGCAGGGGGTGGGGGAGCTATACCTGCATGAGGCTGGCACAGCCCCTGGCCCTGAGCCATAGTGGGCAGCCTGCCTTCGCCTCATGCACAAATCCAGAGTGGAGCATGACCCCCATGTCTCCCCTAGAGGTGCGCGCAGTGGTGGGGAGCTGCCGTCAACCCTCCCTTCTCTCCCACATCTTCCACCCCCCCTGCCCCACAGACTTACTGGTTGGACACTGCTTTCCATGCTGCTGGGCTGTATTCTTGTAAATTGGCTATCAGATCGGTATTGCCTGATATGGCTGGTTAATAATTGGCTATCACTATCAGCCAAGAGTGCAGTGCACCCCTATCTGATTGTATCACCCCCTATCCTCACATTGCAAACTCCATGACGGGTGCTGAATCAATCATTGTGAATTGTTCATTACAAGTATTAAGAATTATATGGTGATCATACTGAGTTTTAGATGACCATGTTGTTATCCATGTATTGTTTGAAGCTAAGAAAAAAATAAAACCATGGAGAAGCCTAAATATTACATTAGTGTTTACCTTTCTTGCATTCTCATAACAGTATGTGGAATGCTTCTGTTTATATACTGCAGAAAAGATTAAAGTTTAGTCAAAATATTCTTCTTCTATTTGCTCTTTGATATAAGTAACACATTTAAACCATATATGTTTTCCCTTATAGTGGACCGGCAAGTCAAATCACTTTCTTCGATCCTCCCATTTTATCGGGGTGCTAGTGGAGTAAAAGGGGGAAGAAGAAACTGTTTTGGAGCCAATGGTGAACAAATATATATTAAAGTAAGCTTCAGTTGGCAAATATTTGGATAGCTTTGTATGAAAATTTGCATTGTAAGTGTTCGCAGGATCAGGCTATTTACAAACAAAAATGACCAGACTTCCTTGTTTACATAGTTCAAACACTAGCACTACTCCAGATGATGCATCTGGTCCAAATCAGTATTGCCAGTTTTACTTTTCTTCCAAAAGCCATCTTGCAGGGTGGTCAGAGAACACCACCTGGGAGGCGAGAGCTCTGTTGCCCAGGATGTGTCAGTTTTAATGCCTAGTCCCTATCTTGGTTCCAAGCTCACAAATATTTTTCTAGCATTGATGCTTTTTTTTTTTTTTTTTTTTTTTTTTTTTAGTTTGCGGGTTTTTTCCCAGTTTGTATAGGTTTCTATAAGGGGAACAAGAATGTCTTTGTAGTTTGTACTTTTGTGAACCCAAATGAGGCCTCCTTTTGTCTCTAGACCTCATCTTAGCTACATAGAAAAATGTATTTGTAACATGTTAGTCAAGGCATATGTACACTGGCTGATATGTATAAAAACTACTGCCTGCTTTGTGTAAGCTTGGGTTTTAACAATTGTTTGCTAATATGTTTGGTTAAAATATGCCTTTTTCTCCAGAGTACGTATTGCCTTATGTTTGATACTTGTGCTTAGCGTTGAATTCATAAACTCCATTTTCACGGTCTGTTTTGGATCTAAAGTGTTTGCTGGGGTTGAGCTTTTAACGTAGTATTTAATTTGTGTTAATTTCCAAAGTAAGCTTAGTGTTTTCAAAATATTGAAAAAGACAGCTTAGACAAAATCTGGAAAACACGTGCATGTATATCCATGCCATCAAGGTGCTAGTAGCCATACATCATGTTGATTTAGATTTATATAGAGGAAGGGGGTTCCTGTCTGCTTATCTGTCTTGGCGGTGCTGGATCTTCTTCTTCTTTAATGTATTTATTTTTCAATACAAATTATTCCCACTTTGGAGATCCCATGGGTTGCTAGAAATCTGTCTCCTTATTCCTTACTGGTAATCTGAGATTTTGCACTGCATGTCCCCTCTCTGATGGCCTAATGATGGAAAGAAGAAAAATAAATTTGCATTGGTTTGTTGGTACAATAATGACAAATGTTTTGTGTTGCTTGGTCATAGACAGAATGCTTCATTGGCCTGTCCTACCCCTCTGGGTCCTAGTATTTCCTTTCACCCTGAAAGGTGTGTGTGTGCGCGCACACGTGAAGCCATAACCTGAAGACATTCTTCTTCCACTGGAGAAAGTTCAGTTGACAATTTTGAAATGGCTTGGTTGTGTGTTGCGTTTCTTCCCGTGGATCTCTCTGTTTTCAAGGTTCCTGTTGGCACTCTGGTTAAGGAGAATGGGACTGTTGTGGCTGATCTCGCTAAGCACGGTGAAGAATATGTTGCTGCTTATGGGGGATCTGGAGGGAAAGGCAACCAGTTCTTTCTGTCCAACGAGAATCGAGCACCAACAACAGCTACTCCAGGAGAGCCAGGACAGCGAAGAGTCCTCCACTTGGAGCTCAGGACTATGGCTCATGCTGGCTTGGTGGGTATTGCTTCTGTTTTTCTAAGATGTCACTTGAATAGCTGTAGAAAGAACGTCATTTTATAATGCATTTGTATTCTCTTGGCCAACTTGTTTAAGAGAGATGTCAGTATGCTTCGATAGCAGTGTGCGTGCAGTGATTTGCAGTCTTGTCACTTTCTTGTTACTACACAGGAAAGCCTGATGTTGCATCATTATTGGTAGAAGACTCATTCCTTTGGTCTAGAAGAGCTTTGAAGATTTATTTAAAGGAAAGGAAAGAGCCAAACCTACCCCTTTCTCAAACGACTCTTTGTTCTGGGTCTTGAACAGCAACTCAGACCCAGGGACATTTGGCGAATCCGTGGCTTTCAAGATCTCTTCCCCTTCCCTACTCTGAGGATTACTCAGTGATGCTTATACCCGGCACTTTAGAAAATTTGATCTGCTTTTATACAGAGTGCATTAATTTGGGCACATTAGTCAGTGTTTGGCTCCAGGAGAGTGGTTATGAATATGATTTGTTAATGTCTGTGTGGGAAGTTTTTAATATCTAATGATGAAATGATTAAAAGAAATATAATAGAAAATGTGGACCTAGGTATTAGAAATGACCATAGAAGACTAATTTAGTTGTGTTTGGGCAATTCTAAGTTCTTATGACTAACAAAGAATCATTGCTGCATAGTGACAAGAGAGCACTCTATTTTGGTTAATCCAGAGTTGTGGCCTTGTTTCATGTCTGTATTCCAGGTGGGATTCCCAAATGCTGGAAAATCATTGCTTTTGAGAGTGATCTCCAATGCAAAGCCGGCAGTGGCTTCCTACCCATTCACAACACTAAATCCTCATGTAGGCATTGTCAGCTATCAAGATTATGAGCAAGTAGCAGGTATGAGTTACAAAAGGCTGTACATTACTGCTTCTTTACCCTTATTCTCTGACTTGGGATGTGAAGTATGCATGTCTGGTGAAATGATGTGCCTTTTCAGGGCTGCAAGAAACAAAGCAGCCAAGTTAATGCAGTCTGCTCAAATGCTACAGTGAATGGTAGCTGGACAAGTAGCTAGACAGATCAGTCACGTACTGTTCTTTGTTGTGTTAAACATGTTCACAGTTGCATTTCTCTTGTAGTTGCTGATATTCCTGGTATAATAAGAGGAGCTCATCAGAACAAAGGTCTAGGGCTGACCTTCCTAAAGCACATCGAACGCTGCCGTTTCCTCTTGTTTGTGGTGGATCTCTCTGTGCCAGAGCCATGGATTCAGGTCCAAGACTTAAAATATGAACTGGAGCAATACAAAGAAGGCTTGTCGAAGAGACCTCATGTTGTCATTGGGAATAAGATTGATCTTCCTCAGTCTCAAGCTAACTTACCACTCCTTAAAGAACAAGTGGAGCAGAGAGTCATCGCACTGTCCGCATTGACAGGAGACAATCTGGAGGAATTGTTCTTGCATCTGCGAGAGTTGTATGATGATTATGTAAAGACTGAAAAATCATGTAGGCAAAACCTGATGAAGTGGTAAAGCTTTCACAGACCTTAGACTGAATGGAGGAGGAAACTAACTATATTTGGTTACGAGCTGCCTGTGTGGGAAGTGTTGGACACAGCATACAATGCGCTGTATATTTGTTCTGGACTGTTGCACTCTGCAAACCAAATATATGCATCTCCTTTTTAGTTTTGTGTCCATGCAAGCTTTTTCCAACAAAATGTAAAGTTTTCATGGTTGTGTATTAACAATACACCAAATTGTAGTTGTTACACCAAATACATAGATTTGTAATGGGGAGAATCTGGAAAAACTGGTTGAAACTCAGAATTTCTTCTTTTCAAAAAATGTTGACATTTTAAAATCTGGTCGGGTTTTTCCCCCCAATTAGAATTACAACCCCAAATTTGAAAGACTTCTCATGAATCAGAAATTTTGAAGTATAACATAGACTAGAGTGTGTTCTTCTAAAAGGGAAAGGTATTCTGTATGGTATGTATAGTCCTGCCAAACAGACTTTCTTCTCTTTTTTTTCCAATTATGTATTATTTCTGGACAGTTTTTCCTCTTGGTCTTGCATTTTTTCCCTAAGCTAGAGTCTTCCTTTTATTTCTGCATGGTCTTAGCCAAGATGCATCTTTTTCATGTGATACGATCAATATTCTTTCTCTCTTTTGGCAGCTGAATTCCTAGAATCCACCCAAATATTATTTACTGAACTGTTTTTAAACAGAAAAGCTGTAACAGTTCCTGTGGAGACAGTATTCTTTCATATTCAGATAGGAATAGAACAGTGTTATCCTATGTGTGTTGAAGCTATTCCTTTAAGCAGTCTATCTGCATAGGCTGCCTTGTATGAGCAGACTGCTTTCCCCCCACTTATCAGCCTGTTGAACAAGGAATAAAAATGTGCTACAGGAACATGGAGAGATACATGGGAGTTGTCAGAAAAAATAATGGTTATTGGTCTAGTGTTTATTTTTAAATTTGAGAGAATCTGAAAGAATCAGATTGACACTTTCCTCCAGATCAGCAGTCTGGAGCTTTCAATTTAGGGCATTTTACTATATCAATACAATACCAAGAAGACTCTTAAATACCTGCAGAGTTTGTAACTCTTCTGCCTTGCCTTCTGTTAGACATCTTCACTTTTCAAGAAGCTAAGATGATGTTTTAAAGACAGTTAGTAAATGGAAACATTTCTTCCTAAAAATATCATTGGCTCTTGTGTGAACAGATTTAGCTGTATTGAATATCAGTATATTTAAATTTAATGTATAACTCAAAAAAACAAAACAAACACATGAACCTCCACCAGACATCTCTTCCTCTGATGGCAAAAGTGTGATTTATTAGGCAATCTAAATGAGCTGTGGTTTTTTTGTAACGACTTCCCTCTACCGTAGGGAAGGGGATTATTCTGGGCCTCAATGTATTTGCAAATTGTGGTATCATTTGAGTCTTCCCAAAGATGAATGTTTGTGGATAGCACATCCTTCCAAGGTAGGCTTTCTCCTCATCTTGTGTGTGTGCCACTTCTTCCCACTGCCTTTCTTTCACTGTCCAGCCAGCCTCCTGTCTCTTGAGGAGGAGAAACACACTATAAAAGTATAGAATTAACAGCTCTCCCTGCCCCCCCCCAGTAACAAATCTGTCCTTTTATGAAAACTTGGAAATCATCACTGGTTGCTAAGTGGAGTGCAGGGTTCTGCGTGTTTGTGAAAGAACAGTGGTGGCCCAGGAGGCTTTGCTCACTGCCTGCATCCCTAATGATGAAATGGGGAGAGCTTTTAATTACCTACCTTGCACACATGAGTATTAATGTCTACCTAATGCTCCAAGTACTTAAAGCCCTAAATTATGCCAAGTATCATTATAGACTCAGTCTGTGTGCAACTGTTAAAAGAACAGATAATGGTAAATGAAAGATGTGAGAGAGCATGATGTCCCCCAAAAGACACTTAAGCTTTATTTTACACTCAGTGAATCCTTATAGAATGCTTCTATAACTGAAAAGAGTTCATTTCATTTTCCATTTGTTTCGGCAGTTTGTGTAGAGTTTGAATGAATGTTTCCAGGTTTGTTATTTTCCCCCCCCCTCTCATTTGTATGTTTTTCATTTTCATTTTCATTTTGTGATGCTGGAAGAGCATAGTCATACATTAGGAGCTTGCAGTGATGCTGGGTGAAAGGTTTTTTAACCAAAACACTCTCAGCTCCCTGAATTATTGTTGGCTTTTATTTATTTTTTTATTTTTATTTAATTGACTAGCTTTTCAGTGGACTGTTTCAGTCCCATTTATTTCCTGAGTTCAGAAAATAAGAAAATATCAATTCATGGAAAAGAGCAGAGAGTGTCTTACGTATTGACTCACGAACAGGGCGCAGCAAGCATTCCACCTGTGAGTGCTTTTTGGATCCTGCCTATTCTAGCAAGTTCCTAAGTAGCTTAACAAGATGTGATATTGGCCAGTAATTGGTTTCTTTGTTAATAACCTGCAGCTGATCTGCCCTGAGAAGCCAGTGCCCCGGTCTCTGCTGTGTGCTTGCGTGATCTGGATTCAGAGCAGTCTTGTTAAGGGTGAAGAGAGTGCAATAGTCCTAATTCTCATCCTGGTCATGGAAACTGATTTCTAGCAGAGTCAACGTCCAAGAAGCTTGTGCTGGAAGTAGAGGTGCGCTGTATATTGGTTGCCTATCGGATCAGCACCGATAAAAGGGAAATGCGATTATCGGCTTTTTTTAGCTGTTGTAGCCGACAATGTTTACCAATAACTATGCCTTCTGGCTGAAGCGCTGGATGCCTGGGTTCCCTTCTGCGAGTCGGGGTGACCTTGAGCATGGAGGCCCCGATCCGGATACAGGAGCCTGAGCCGTTTTCCATCCCCTCACTGGCAGGCTGAGCTGGGCTGGAGTGGAGCAGAGCATCTGGCGCACGGTGCTGGCGCAGCACGGATTTTAGGCTGCGGCTGGGGTGGACGCTAAAAGGCGGTGAGTGCCACAGAGATGTGACTGGGGTGGGGAGGGCTGGACGGAGCTGCCCAGCCCAACCCAGCCTGCCATACCTCAGTCACAGTGCCCAGGAGTCTGGGGGCCAGAAGCAAAACCAAGGCAGCTGTTCCCCCCTCCTCCCCCTGCTACGTACAGCAGAGTCCTCCCTGGTGTGACCACCTGTCCGTAATTGGACAGGACAGTCCCTCCCTGTGAACCTCAAGTCCCGGTCCCAGGCTGTGCAACTGGGGCAGCGCTTGTCCAGGATTCACAGCCTCTGTTGGATCAGAACATGGTGGGTTTCTCCTGGCAAAGTTTCAGTGTGCAATGGGCTGCTGGGAGTGGGACATGGGGTGCTGCACACATGCACATGACGGGGAATACAGCCTGGACAGCAGATCCCTGCAGGTAAGTCTGTGGGAGGAAGGAATAGAGAATGGGGTGGGAGCAGATCAAGGCCCTCATGATGAGGGAGGAAGTGGGGTAGGGGCTGGGGGAGCAGGATGGAGCCATGGGTGGCTTGTCTGAGGGGCATGTGATTTGTGTGGGCTAGCATGAGTGTGGGCTCCCTGCCCTGGGGGGGGGGGGGGGCCCATGCTGGCCACACCACCATGGTGAGGTGCCCCCTGTCCGTCCAGCAGCAGCAAGGGAGGCGGTGTGGGGTTGTGTCCCCTGCTGCTGCCGAGCAGGCAGGGGGTGCACAGCCAGCATGGGGCTCCCAAGGGAAAGGAGCCCCAATCCCACATCCACCCCCCTATGAGCTCCACTCTGCTCTGGTCTGGCCACACCGGTGGCTGTGGGGGAGGGAAGGTGGGTATGTGTCCTGCCTTCCCCTTCTGCAAAGGTGGTCACCCTAGTCCTCCCCCGACCCCTCAGCCTAGCTGGGTCCTGCCCTTCCAAGAGCCGGGTCCATGCAGCCTGCCATGAGACAGGAGGCTGCTGGAGCTGCCAAAAAAAGTGGTTTATGTCCGTAGTTTAAAATGCCTTGCATTATTACTAAATATCAGTTATTGGATTGGCATTGGCCAATAATGGTTGGTTAATAATTGGCTATTGGTATCGGCCAAGAAAATCTTTATTGGTGCACCTACCTCCAGCTGGAAGCCATATGTTTGAGCTGAACATTTGCCACAGATTCTGCAGTTTCCTTCCCTGCATGACTTATCTTTGTGCTGAAGCCATTGATGCCCATCTTTCTGTCTTTGTGCTCCAAGTTCACAGACACCCAGGTGGAAGAGGTGGTAATCCTATTTCTCTCCTTGAGAATGAACCTCCTTTTAATCTGAACTAAAGTACAAAACCTGTGTTCTTTAATAAGAAAGCTTAAGAGATTTTGATCCGGCATTCCCTCGGGTGTTTAAAGGATATTTCTTTCCAGAAGGGCTAAAGAAATGAATGCAGGAGCATTTTAATGCTAGTCACATTTTCATTTTTTTTGTAGTCGTCCTTCCCATGATGCTGTATTGACCCAGCACTTAAGCTCCTCTGTCATTAAATCAAATAATTTACAGTTGGCAAGTTCTGTCTGATCTGAACCACATCACAAAGTAGATGATCCAAGCTCAGGTTTATGAGCGTTAGTTCCCTTTGTACCGAACGGAGAGCCAGCGCGCTCTTCTGTGCTCAGCACTACTGAAAGGGCTGTGCTTCGTACAGTGCTCTGCAGTCTGATTCCTGCTTCAGGCCAGCA